GTAAGACAAGAAAAAGAAAGTGTAGGAGCCAGCCCCAGTGGCCTAATGGTTAAGTTCAGCTCACTCCGCTTTGGCGGCCCAGGTTCAGTTCCCAGGTGTGGACCTACACCACTCGTCTGGCAGTGGATGTTAGCTCAGGGTGAATAATCCTCAGCCAAAAACAAAAAGAAAGTGTAAATATTGGAAAGGAGACCAAACTCTTTTCTGGGTGATATATGATTTACTTAGAAAAATCCAGAGAATCACTGCATAAGGTATTTGAACTTGCATAAGGAAGTTAAGGTAACCAGACACAAGACCAACATAACAGAATCAGTAACTTTTCTATAATCAGTAACAGTTTATAAAATGGAAATGTTTAATCTCATTTCATTTTTGCAGTAACCCTGAGAATGATTTTAGCTCCATTTTGCAGATATAAAAACTGGAGTTTGGGGCCGGCCCGGTGGCATAGTGGTTAAGTTCACGCGCTCCACTGCAGTGGCCTGAGATTTGCAGTTTCGGATCCCATCCCCAGACCTACACACTGCTCATCAAGCCATGCTGTGGCAGGTGTCCCACATATAAAGTAGAGGAAGATGGGCACGGATGTTAACCCAGGGCCAGTCTTCCTCAGCAAAAAGGAAGATTGGCAACAGATGTTAGCTCAGGGCTAATCTTCCTCACCAAAAAAAAAAAAAAAAAAAAAAAACTGAAGTTAGAGGTTAACTTGACCAAAATCACACAATTTATAGTTAGCAGAGAATGAATCAAATCCAGTCTGAGCTGAGACCTTGTTATCTAGCACTGTAATACTCCACTGCGTTCGTGTTCAATGCCACGTATAAGGTTGCAGACTTCTTAATTGGACGTCTTTGTAATAACGGGAATTGACACTAAGTCACAGTGAAACAGAGGCAGGATTTTTTTGGAGGGTACATGCCAGGTGGCAATGGCTGTACTCGCTGCATCGTGGTGCGCGAGACCTCCCAGGAGTCGGCAGCGCCCAGACGGCAGTGCCCAGCCTCACTGTCCACAGCAGGCGGCATTAAAGGCTCGCTCTGACCATGCTTTCTCGGGACGCAGGGTAGCTGCTGCTGAAGCCTCCCCTCTTGGGAGCCCGAGGTCCCTGAGCACAGAGTAGCTGCAGAGGACTGCCACTTTTGTTCTTCTTGAGCTCAAACCTGCAGCAGTTCAGAGACACCCACCACACAGCAAGGCCAGTTTAAAACACAGCCCGAGTCTGAGCTGAAGTGAAGCTGTCAGACTGGTAGGTTGGTAGGTAGGTGTCATTCGCTTGTGCACAAATAACAGAGAGATGCTCAAGAATCTTGCGTGTGAGTGTGTGTAGGTACATAGCTTTGGTGGGCTGCTTTCTGCAGCTCTGTGGAAACCACGGGCAGAGGTATAGGAGAGCCAGTTCAGAGGTGTGCATGGGTAACAGGAGGTTTCTTGCCTGGCCTTGCTTGGAGACGCCCTGATAGTATGTTCCTTTTGTTTGTAGGTCACACTCACCACTTTGTGAGATTTGTCTGGCGGTATAGATCCAAAATAAGCCTCGGCTTCATTGGAGCCTCTCTTGCATGCTCTCCTTCCTAGAGCCCAGACCAACACAGAACAGTCCAGGCATGGAAGGCTCCAGGCTGGGCTGGGAGGTACCCTCAGCAGTGAACTGTGGACATGCCTCAAAGTGTTCTGGCCTTCCCGCTCCTTTGTACAAATCGGTCATTAGATTAGGAGATATTGAAAGGCCTTTCTCAGTCTCACATTCTCCGATAATGTCCGGGAAGCTCTGCACTGGACACTGCAGTGGAAAGAGGCTGTGCAGGGCTGGGAGGGAGGACTGGTGCATCAGGGATTTCTGATGGCTTGTGAATACTAGGAGAAACTGGGTGTGCCTCATTTCTCAGAATGACTTTCTACACATTGTTAACCTGAACATGGGTCACAGAAAATAGGGTGGATTAGGGTGGACAGATGACTAACACAGAGGTGACCGTGAGCTGTTAACTGGGTTTCTGAGAATTAAATGCTGAGCGCATATAACAATTTTCAATACAAGGGCAACGTCTAACCTACGAGATGACTGTCATGTGGGTGTTGGATAAGAATTTAACCCTTGAGATTTGAATCACCCCGAAGGGCCCTTATCTACTCATTCAGAAAGTATTTATTGAGATCCTCAGAAACCTTTGTATTGCGAGATACCACCCCCTTATCTCCTGGGTTTGTGTAAAGCAGGGTGCACCTTCTTACTTGGAGGAGTTGTGCTTGTGTTGATCTCAACAACAAAATAGCTCTCCGAGCCAGCACTGGAGCGGTCTCACCTGAGTTTGAGAAGCAGCAGTGTGCTGTAGTGAAATCCACTGGGCTTGTGGTCAGGGGCTACATTTCAGTCCAGCTCTGCCAGCGGCTGCCTGCCACTGTGGGCAGGATCCTGCATCTCTCAGAGTCTCTGTTTTCCTGTGTGTGATGTGGAGACGATAGTTTACCTGCAGCCGTGCTCACACGCAGCCAGGGCCTGGCACGTCATAAGCACCCACACAGTATGAGACTATTATGAGTTGTTTGCTTGTTGTTCTCTCAGATCTACAACCACCTGTGTGTCGAAGAGGGAGGCAGTACCCCCAAAGACATAAAGAAAGGGGGGATGAGAGTTGGAGGACAGGCCGGAGTTTGGAAGAAACTAGAAATGCTTGTGTATCAGTTTGGTCTCTTGCAGTTACTGGGATTTGAGGGGTAAATAGCAACTCTTCCCTGAGTTCTGAACCAATTGAGGAGGAAAGAAAACAAAAGATAGAAGACCCTTTATTACTGATGATCCGGGAAGTGGGTGTCCCAGGACCGCACCCCAGGATTAGACAGACCTGCCCCGCCAGGCACAGGGATGCTGGATCTCCCCAGCCTCCCCACAGTGGGGTGGGCCCTTGACCTCCAAGTGGACCCCACAGTCCCAAGAATGGTTGCCAGCACATGCTATTTGCCAGTTGGGTGGCTCCCAAGAGGCAGAGGAGGGAAGTAGCAGACCCTGCACGCCCAGTTCTACTCCACCTGCTGCGGAGAGGAGTGGGGGCCAGAGAGAGGCCAGGGGTGTGATACAGGTGGAACTGCTGCCAGAGGTGGAATCAGGAGTGAGGAAAAAGTGCACCCAAGTGACCCACCCGACGCATTCTGGCTTAAGTCACCAAAGGGAATTGGATCATATCACTGGGACATCCAGGGTGGATCAGGATTCAGGCTTGTCTGGATCCAGAAGCTCAAGTGGTGTCTGTGGGGGCCTTTTTCTCTTGGTTTTGCTTCACTTCATCCTCAGAAGGTTCTCTCTCTGTACCCTCACCAAGATTCCAGGTCTATGGGACCCTTAGATCTTAACTTCAGAGATAAAGACAGTGTCTTTTCTGACCTCTCTGTCAAAAATCTCTCTGTATTGAGAGAACTATATAGTGGTTACTAGGGGCAAGGGGGTTGGGGGGTGGGCACAAGGGGTGAAGGGAGACATGTATATGGTGATTGACAAACAATAATGTACAACCAAAATTTCACAATGTTATAAACTATTAAGACATCAATAAAAAAAAAATCTCTGTATTGCCTCAGAGAGGACCACATGTCCATATCTGAATTAGTCACTGTGGATTGAGGGATTGGAAACAGGCGTCAGCCCCACATCACTTGGACCAAAGAGAATTAGAGAAAAATCCAGGAGAGTTGAGTCCTCAAAGGGATGCTGCACATGTCCCCCAAGTTTTAAGAATGAACAGTGGTTGTGCTGCATAATAGAAATGTGGGTGTCTTTTCTTTTTCCTGAATACTTGTAGTCCCATTTTTCTGAGCGTTTATTACTTTCTAAATGGCGAGGGGGGGTAAAAATAATAAGTCTATTTGTTTTAACCTTGCTTTGCGCCTAAAAGGATTTATGACACTAACAAAAAACACATAAAATAAAAAGAGATAAATAAGCAAAAGCGATAAGGGGAATACAAGAGTGAGAAGCAACAGCCAAGGAGGAGTTCCTAGATATTTATCAGAAATAGGACACCCAGATATCACGGAAAACCTTTTCATTTATTTGGGGAAAAAGAAAAAGAAGGATCCATTACTCTAAGGATTCAAAGGTGGAGTGGGGATTCTGAGGAGCCCTGGTTTTAAAGGCGATGCCAGCTGCAATTAACAAAGCCTTTTAGGAGCACATGGCTCCTGGGCCCCGGGAGGTTGTGGAGAGTGAGCATCACCTGGGATCAGCTGGCCCACCTCCAGTCTCAGGTGGGAGCATGAAGCACCTAGGTAGTGGGTATACTGGGAGGTGATCGGGCCCCCTGTGCTCTGCCCATGGGCACAGTCTATCCTGATATCTGATCACCTTCCCAAGATGCCATCATGGAGGCTCCAATCTGAACCTCGTCACCTCCACTGGAAAAACTCACCCTCCACAAATGGTGGCCTGCGTCCCTCTGTGCGGTCATCCATCTAACTTCCAGTTTAAGGTGACCCCCAAGGCTGGTCTCCAACCCAAAGATTACAAAATTTCTTCCTGGAAAGCCAGCACCACGATAACCCCGAGGTATCCTTATCTCTGAGACTTTCCCAGGCCAGAATTAGCTCCACATATAAACATTTGGGTTTGATTTTTGGTTGTTAGCATCTCCCCTGCTTACCAGAGTCCCTTGCGATCAAGGCCACAAGTGGGGTAGCCATTCCTGATCAAGCTGGAACACATCAGTGGGAGGCCTGGTGTTGTGAGCCCTTCCCCAAAGCCTGCTCGCTGCTCCCACATTTGAGAAAACAAACCCAACTTTCCAGGGTCTGGTGGCTGGGTTTCTCTGCCTGTCCAGCCAGCCACATGGAGTTGAGACAAGCTGGCCCTTCAGGGGTCCTCCTGCCTCCCACAGCCAGGATAAACTCAAGATTTCGGGAAGTCCTGCAAGATGGCACCAGTCGGGGTAGACAGTGTGCTAGGGTTTGGTGTGTGGCTTTGGTTTTTGTTTTTTTTAATTAACTCTTGGTTACCTCCCTCCAAACAGACAGCTACAGACAGTTCTTCTAATTCCTCTCAGAAGAGGGAACAACCTCCTCGGACAATCTCCTCTCCCACATCCTGTGAGCACCGGAGGATTTATACCCTGGGCCACCTCCACGACCCATACCCCACGGACCACTGTCCCCTCGAACAGGTGAGCAGCAGTCTCGTTCCTCTGAGGTCATCGGGGTGGATGGCTCCCGATGCTGGAAGGTCTCCTTCTCCTCCTGTTTAGCCAGATGCCCTGGCCTCTCCTGCTCACTTTGTACCCCCACCCCATATTGAAGGTGGTGGTGGCAGCTCCCCCTTACTCAGTTTTCTGTGTGCCAGACATCTTGCTAAACCCTTCATGTGCTTTTTCTTGTTTAATTCTCACAAATCACCCCCCAAGGCAGGCCATTGGCACCCCCAGTTTATGGATGAGGAGGCTGAGGCTTAGAGAGCTAGAGGCCCTGGTGGAACAGGATTCAAGTCTCACCCCGGGTGCTCTGCTGCCTCCTGCGTTCCTCTGTCCAAGGGCCTCCTGGCTTTGAGTGAAAGCACGGAGCCACGATCAGGACTAAAGAATGCTACACACTTGGCTCGAGCACCCTGGCACCGTGGGCTACAGGCCCAGGCTTGCTCGGGGAGATGTAGCTAGAGTCTGGAATTCAGTAATTCAACAAATATTTACCGAGCGGCTGTTTTGCAGAGCAGGTTCCTAAATTGTGGGACATGGACTGGTGCCGTGTGGGGCGATGTGGCCACCGGTCTGCTTTGAAAAGAGAAAAAGGAGCACAGGGCAGTGAGTCTTTTTTTTTTTTTTTTTTGACATAAAGCTAGATTTATATGACTTTTTTAAAATTATTGTGTGCCTCTTAATATTTCGGCATTAAAATGTTTTTTTAAATCACATTATGGTAGCAGTAGATGGGAATTGACTTTTTGACTCCCCTTACTTTGCATAATAAATAATTAGCAAAGTCTATGTGAGCTTTCAAGATTTGTTTTGAAATCCTACAGGATTGTGATTTTCCAAAGTCTGGGAAACTCTGATGTCAAGAATTTCACAGGAATTAGGGCAAAGCGTGTGAGATGGGGCTCCTGTCCTCAAGGAGCTCACAGTCTGGTGGTAAATCTAACTACCGTGTGATTAAATTCTATAACAATATTATAATGACCATAACGGCAACAGGGATCAAGCACATCCTGTGTGACAGGCTGTGTGCTGATACCACCACATAGATTCTTTCTCTTCATTCTCACAATAGCCCTAAGCAGTTTGCTAGTCAGGGAAACTGAGTCTGAGGCTTAGCTTTTTGTTGTTAGTGCTGTGGAGTCGATTCTGATTCCTAGGGACCCTGTGTACCGCAGAGTGGAACCCTGCCTGGTCTTTTTGTGCCATCCTCTCACCTTCCAGTGCTGTATCAAACAACGCTCCGCTGCTATTCATAGGGTTTTCATGGCCAATTTTTTTCGGAAGTGGGTGGCCAGGTCCTTCTTCCTAGTCTGTCTAGTCTGGAAGCTCCCCTGAAACCTGTCTACCTGGGTGACCCTGCTGGTATTTGAAACACCAGTGGCCTAGCTTTCAGCATCACAGCAACATGCAGCCACCACAGTATGACAACCGACAGACAGGTGGTGGGGTTCCCTGACCAGGAAACAAGCCCAGGCCGCAGCAGCACCAAGTCTTAACCACTAGACCAGCAGGGCTGGTGAGGCTTAGCTACCTGGTAAATTCCATAGTTTGAATTTGACTCCAGTGGGTTCACTCAGAGCCATGTTTCTCACCCCTTAAAAAGCTTTCATGCCCAAAGGACTTCAAAGGTGAGAAATCTCATTCTCTGCTGCAGCTGAGCTGCCCCGTGCAAGGCAGGCTTACCTGCATCTATTCCATAACTTTACCAGCGCCCACCTCGGGACAAGGCATTGTTGCAGACTATAGCAGGACCACCTGCAGAGATGACTCTGTCATGCTAAGGGAGAATGTGGTTTGGGGTGAAGGCCAGAGGGTGTAGCTCTGGGTCCCCCCTACCAGGGCTCCATTGCAGCTCTGCTGCTCACTATCTGTGAGATCCTGGGAGGATTCGAACCGGGCAGCTGGCCTCTGGAGCCTGCACTCTTACCCTTTTCATATCCGGGCATCTTATCGTCCCAACCAGATTACAAGGTACTTATTCCTAGTATCCCCTTTTGCTTTTGTGGACATGACCCACAGTGAGAAATGCATTTTCTGCTGTGACCCAGTATGTACAAATTGTACACACGTAGATAATGAAAAGTATTTACCCTTATAACATGCAGTGCACTCCAGTGCTCTTATATTTCACTGGAGGAAAAGAAGCTGGTGTTACAAAAGAGAACCGACAGGCAGGACTAATCTAAGCTGTTAGAAATCAGCCTGGGGTCACCGTCACCTCAGGGGGGGGAGGTAACTGAAGGGAGGCGGGGGATGTCCCGGGGAGGCCTCCCACCGTCTGCTGCTTGATCTGGGTGTGTTCAGTTTCTGAAAATTCAAGCTATATTCTTACAGTGTGCACACTTTGCTGCATATATGGTAATATTTCAACAGAAAGGGAAAAATGCTGGTCTCGGCCCCTTAAATTGATTTCCTGACCCAGGAATGGATTGAGACTCACAATTTGAAATATTATCTTTGACTGACCCACAAGATGTTCAGTAATTACAGGACGGGTCAGTTTCGTCAAGAAATCCTTCGTCAGGGTGAAGGGTGCGTATTGGAGGATGTGGGGCCGGGGAGCAGGGGGCGCTGCTATAAAATAATGTCTCCTTTCCCCGGGGCAGTCGATGCCGAGGCCCTACCGCCAGGTGAGCTTCCCGGACGACGACGAGGAGATCGTGCGCATCAACCCCAGGGAGAAGATCTGGATGACGGGCTACGAGGATTACCGGCACGCGCCCGTGCGGGCCAAGTACCTGGACACCTCGGAGGACGCGGACTCCTACGTGCGCTTCGCCAAGGGCGAGGTCCCCAAGCACGACTACAACTACCCCTACGTGGACTCCTCAGACTTTGGCCTCGGCGAGGACCCCAAAGGGCGCGGGGGTGGCGTGATCAAGACACAGCCGTCCCGGGGCAAGTCCCGGCGGCGGAAGGAGGACGGCGAGCGCTCCCGGTGCGAGTACTGCAGGGACATGTTCAACCACGAGGACAACCGGAGGGGCCACTGTCAGGATGCGCCCGACTCCGTGAGAACTTGCATCCGCCGGGTGAGCTGTATGTGGTGTGCAGACAGCATGCTCTACCACTGTATGTCGGACCCCGAGGGAGACTATACAGACCCGTGCTCGTGCGATACTAGCGACGAGAAGTTTTGCCTCCGGTGGATGGCTCTTATTGCCTTGTCTTTCTTGGCCCCTTGCATGTGCTGTTACCTGCCCCTTCGGGCCTGCTACCACTGCGGAGTGATGTGCAGGTGCTGCGGTGGGAAGCACAAAGCGGCCGTGTGACTCCGGGCCCTTCCCCCCGCCCCCCATCCACAGCCACAAGGGACCTTGTCTTCGCCACACTCTCATCTTCTCCCCTGCTCCCTGGTGCCACCATTGCAGCCTGGGGAACCTACCCGCTGGACTCTGCACTCCCCCCCGCCACCCACTCTGCGTCAGCGACACACCCCTACACGCAGCACACAGTGTTCTAAGGAAAGGAACCTCCACGCAGACCTTCGTGTGTTATTAACAATCTGTAATCAAGCTGTCTTCTCCACATTGATTTTCCTGTCTTTCCTCCCCACCTCTTCCAGTTCAAAGGCACCTGTAGTCGGAACTCCTGATTTTTGAGGGTTGTTGTAGTTGGTGTTTTCCAAGAGCATGGAAGACTCTCTTTCTCTTGGTTCGGCTTGCCTGTTGGTCCTGAGCATCGTCGGGTTCCTGTGGAAATGTGATGTCAGAAGGATGAAACCCACCAGAAGTATTTTAACCTGCAGTCAGTTATTATGTATAGGAGGTGAGCTAGTTAACAAACTTCTCCCACAAATCAAGATCGCTTTAACTTTTCTAAAGCCACAGTTCCCCTGTAAGCTGCAGTTTGTATCTTGAGCCCATCATCATTTTCTGTGCCTCCTCCCCCCAAATCTTGTCAGTTATTCACCAATACGAACATTCACCCGTAAAATGACTGAGAATTGAGCCTTAACTTCAGATAAACTTGTGAGAATCAGGAAAATTCCTTAAACTGCATCACATCCTCTTAGGCCAGGGCTTAGAAAGGGGATTTCAGGTCTCTCTGAGCCTCCCCAGTTACCCCTAAAGTAGAACTTTTTAAAATTATGTCACCACCACTTCTAAAAATTTAGCAATATTAGAAGAAAATGCTCATGAAGAAAGAAATTTTGCTCATTGTTTTGCAAACCAAGTAGTCTATTCAAACACAAACCAGTGTCCTCCAAAAAAGTTCCGGTTGAGAAACACTCAAGTTGTAGTAAATAAAATTATAAGAGCTTTTTTTTCCCCCCAGTGGCTATTTTGTATTAACCGGGGGAAATTTTAAATGTCATACATTTGAAGAGTGGTGGGTTGCATTTTGTTCATGGGTTTGTGTTTTTGTTTTCATTTTGGCCTCAATTTCACATCACGAAATTCTTCATTTATACTTGGGAAAAGGCCATATGTAAAAACCCTTCCAATGCCTAAGTGTCTTTCTCCTGCAATCCTAAACCCAGACTTGCCACTTTGGGTGCACAGATGGTTAGGTCAGCAGGCTGGGTCTACCTGTCGCCTTGCCACGTAGGAGGCTTCTAATTAGCTGGGAAAGAGTATTTTTCTAATATATTGCAAGGAATAGCCAAATCTTATTGCAGAAAGAAGAAAAGTGAAGAGTGGTTACCTGTACCTAGCATAGTACAATCAAAACGACGTGGAGACCGTAGAGGACAGGCTTGTCAGCGCTGGCTCTTCTTCCTGCCATGATCTTCCTGTGGTAATTGCCAGCTGAGGGCATAGCCTTATCCCTCTCTCTCTCCCCACTTCCCTCTTCTCTTCTCTGTTGCACACAGGACATCAGTCTTCGAGGAAAAAGACTTTCTTCCAGTCTGCCAATCGTATTGGGAAAGTGCTAGCCACGCTTACCTTCATGGGAGTGTTTTCAGCTCATCTGAGAGCCCATCACATTTCTTTAGTCAGACCATCGGTGTAAATACCGAGTGTGCTTATGAGTTAGTTGGAGTATGTTTTCATTTGTTGGAGTGACTGGTTTGGGAAAGGAGCAGAGAGCTGTCAATCTAGTGATGAGAGAACTGCTTCCCTGCCAGGAAAACATCTAGAAAACCTTCAGCCAGCCTCCAAACGTTGTCAAGAGACCATCTTCCCCCCACCCTGAGTCTTTCTCAAGATCTCCTCTCTACAAAGCACAACACTAATGTATGTTTTGTTAGACCTCAGTCCACGAGCCCCTATTTATTTCAGTATAATACACACATCCCCTGCTTTTTGTCCGTTGTCCCTAATTAGTCCTTATCTGTTTCGATCTTCCTTTACCCCGATCGTTTTCCATCCCTTTGAAGAGTTATGCTGGTGAATCTTACTCCGCTTACGCTTAACGCTTTTTGGTTTGTGAAGGCAGCGGTTAAGGGCACAGGGCAGCCGTGGGGACATTTATGTAAATACGTCTCTCTCTAGTTACCACGCTGCAGCTGAACAGTGTGTAGTATTTTCCCAGTCAGCTCTGCCATACTGACGTCAATCATTTGAGAGAAATTATTCAGATTTTATTTTTGTATCTGTGGTAACAAAACATTAACCAAAAGATTTTCTGTTGGGAAGCTTCCCCCGAGCCCCCCCCAAGCTATTTGCTCACATTAACAAATTAAAGTGCCTGAAGCATAATTCATTCTTTACCTGTATACTAAAAACCCTGTTGTATTGATTTTTTTATAATAAGCCTTTTTACCTCTGTGTAAAAAATATATATACAAGTGTATGATGTACATTTTAGTTCTTAACTTTTTTTTATGGTTTCTAATATGTATGACCAATGTAGCCATTGCTTTAAAATGTACCATGTAAATATAAACACATCCTATCAGATTGCTGACTTTGGGCTATTTGTCTGGCTGGAGTCGGGGTGGCATTTGAGCCTCTGTGGATGTGGGAGTTCTCACACACGGGATGGGAAGGGGTCTCCTTTGGAGAAGGACGTAGAGACACCGGTCTGTTTTTGTGAGGCCCTTCCCGCCTATGGTTATGTCATATTCCCAAGGGGAGACAGACGGCAGCTCCTCTGGCTCGGATGCCTCAAGTGAAAGGAATGCTGTATGTCACCGCCCAGGGAACACCGCCTCTTCCTAGGCCTAGCTTCCCCCACGCGTGCTCCTCAGAGGGAACAGCTGTACTTCCTCCAAGTTGTTTTCCACCGATTCCTGCTGAACCTCAGGTGGGTGTGTGTGTGGAGTTTGGAAGACAGTTTCTCACAGAAAACAACTGTTAAAACTGCAAGACCCTTGGTCTCCTCAGAGTGGTTCTATTTCACCGACACTTGGCCCACTTTCCCTTCCAAATGGGCTCTTTGGATGCTCAAAAGTTACAGTGACAATCCCTTGGAGGAAATAAAGTGTGGGGTCTTTTAAAGGTCACAGAGGAAAGTTTCAGCTCCTTCTCTAGAGAACTGAGTTTGGGGCCTTAAAAAGAGATGTGTAGAGGGGCCCCTCCATCTTAGTTTTAACTGTTCCCTAAAGCAGTGACTTTTCCAAGGCACTGGCAAAGGTGAAAATCAACAGGAGATGCTGGAAATTGGAAAGTGAGAGGAGAGAAGCCATAAGGATTGGTAAGTAAGAGGTTATTAGAGAACTTAATGAAAGTTGCTTCGTTAGAGTCGGAGGGGCGTAAACCAGATTATAGTGGGGTGAAGAGTCAAGATGGAGGAAGTAAAAACGTCAAATGGAAAACATGTTTTCAAGAAGTTTGATGCTAGAGGAATAATGGGATTGCTCTGAAGTAGAACTGAGGAATTAAAATAAGTTAATATCTGCCAAGATAATATGTATGCATTTACTTGTTCTTATGACAGTTAATCCTGAATAAACTGTTCTCATAAAAAAAGAAGGGAGAAGAGAACTTGGAAGGTGCCTCTAAGAGCTGCAGCAGAAAAGGAGTGCTGAGATCTTCCTTGACCCTCGTGTCCCCTGCATGTCCCTCCCGTTATCCCTGTTTACAGTTGAGGAACTGAGGCTTAGAAAACGTACGTAAGGTAAGCTGCAGTCACATGAAGCGAGAGCTGAACCCGGCCTGAGCCCGGGTCCTTTCCTGGCCTCGCTCTGATTCCTCTGCTCACCCTCCTCCCTGTTTGTGGGCTTGAAAAGTGGGCACCGGTCAAGAGCCTTGCCCAGTCCTCCCTGTTCTCTCAGGCCCATCAGGCTGCTTCAGGATTAGCCTGTCATCTTTCATGCCTGGCGTGCTCAGCCAGGAGCTGGACGCACTACACGTGTCACCTTTAACTCCCTGTGAAGTAGAGTGTTCATGTCCACCTCACAGGTGAGGAAGCAGGCGTAGAGAAACTACACTCGCCCTTTCAGGGTCGCTGGACAGTATGCCATTACTAGCCATTAGCCCTTGGGCAAGTGACTTCGCCTTTGTGAGCCTCGGTTTCCTCAGGTATAACAAGTGGAGTAACACCGTCAGCACTTCAAGAAGGTTCAATGATAGGGTGTAGTTACAGTGTAGTACACGGGAGGTGCTTCCAACTGCTAGTTCTTTCCTCAGTTCCTCCTTTATCCTGGGACCCTGAGGAAACATCAGAAACTAGAGAGGACGGTCTCTTTTGAAGCACACGTGGCTGAAGCGATTATGCATATTTGGGGAATATTTAGACTTACGACATAGATGTTGAGATTTCTTTTTCTTAACCTCTCTGCAATTCTAAAGTAGGTTTTGATTCCTTGCCTGCCCTCCCAGATATGTTTGTGGCCCATAGCTGCAGAAGTGCACTAGGCTGGCTGGATTCCTCGGGAGCCAGTGCATGCAACTTGGAGAAAGTTGGTGGCTTCTGTCAGAGCAGTTCCGCCAAGAGGGCTGGACCCGGCTCAGCGTACTTGACCAGGGTTGGAGCACATTGTCTTGCCGAGTTCTGCCTTCCTGAACCTTCCAGCCCCTCTTTTGTGGCGTTTAGGTCGCCCCCTACAAGTCAGTGCCCTCATCTCCTGGGTCTCTGCGCCTCCCTGCTGCTGTCCCCACTGCTGGTTACCACCCCACCCCCACAATGGTGGGCACCCCCCAGAAAACCAGGACATTGTCCCAGAGGAAAAAGTGTTGTTGGAAGAATTCTGTTTTACAAGGACTCCCAGGGTGGTTTGTTATTTTAACAGGGCTTTCGAGCAGGCAGTCACAGGGCCGGCCATGTGAACAAGGGACCAGCGCTTGTAAAAGTGTGCCAGCTGCTTGCAGAACTCCTTATTGCAGCCCTGGTGGACTTGCTGATTTGTGGGGTGAGATGGTTGGAAATATCACACTTTGTTTGTTTGTTTAGGCCTAAACCAGATGGGTGGACTGAAGGGAGATGACCCTGGTGACATTTTGCACAACCAGATACCAGTTGTGACCTAGCAAATCGGGGCCCGCCTGTCTCCTCAGCTAGAGCAGCCACCGGTGCTAGTGGTTCCCTCAAGGCAAGCTGACCACCTAAAGGGCAGTGTGGAGTGGGGCCAGGGTGGGGCGAGTAGGAGGAGGTAGGCTCTGTATATTTATGAAGGAGGAATAAAACCAACTATGTGATAGTCATGCCTGGTATC